TGCATTACTCGATATTGTTTAGGTTGTGCTTGCTAGGGGATTTACATAGATTTTAAGCAGAGGCAGCAGCGATTTTAGCGGCAGTCGTACGTGCCTCGGCGGCGCTGATGGCACTAGAGGCGCGTTCCCATCCGTCCGGGATCTTCTCGTCGACGAGAAAGGAGCGAGCCGTGTCGACCGGGACGGTCTCGTTGTTCTTGGAGCCGAATCCGAGGACCAGAATCGACGCCTCGAGGAACGACAGCGTTTGCTGCGTGGAGCCAAACGTGACGTTCAGGTTGATGGCGAGGCTGTCCGCAAGACGCGCCTTGCGCGCAGCTCCAAGCTCCGTCACTCCGATCTTGCCGCTCGACGCTCCGCGTTCGAGTAGCTGCTCAGCCAGCGTGAGGTTCACCTGGGCTGGGTCGCCCCCGAAGTACACGTCGTTGTGGATGAGCGATGCGTCGTGCTCAATCATGTTGTGTGTGGACAGGTAGTCGAGCGAGAAGGTATCGGGCACTAGAGCCAGTAGCGTGGCGGTGGCGTCCTCGCCCAGGTTGTAGACGGACATGACGGCGGGGCCGAGTACAGCCTTGGTGACGTTCTGGCCGTTGCGCGGCAGGTAGCCGTGGTTGGCCAAAGTGTTGAGTGCAGGACACGGCGAGCGGCGGAACGGCCGCGTGTTGCCCACGACGCCGGAGACCATGCGGTCGGCAGGCTTGAAGTACGTTCCTTCCGGCAGGAGGTTCACGTCGAGACCCGCGCTCGGGCTGGTGAAGGAGACGACGGCGACCGCGGCCGCGACGATGCAGTTGACGAAGGACACCATGGAGAAGTGAATACGTATGCGTAGGCCAAAGCGAATTGGAGAATGACATTCGGGTGGTGCGTTTCCAGCTCTCGAGACACTACGAGAGCGTAAACGGCGAGTGTGATCGTGCTGGTGCGGCGTCACCCTGTGGCTGTGGTTGTCCTCGCTATGGAGTCGAATGATCCTTAGAATTGACACGTGATGTGCCTGATTAGCAGACAAATGTACAGAAACGAGAACAGGATCACTATCAGTCCGAGTGATGCTACGGTTTGACACCACCAAAATGGAGTCAAGTCATCTGTGGCCACGTCGACTGCAACGGACGTGGTTGCTGGTTGAACGTCGTTTTCGCCTAGCACTGTTTGGTGTCCGGACACAGCAGTGATTCCTTTATATTCTACAGTGCTCGGAGGTTTGTTTGTATCTAAACTTCACCACGCTGAGAGGCCATCTTACGAGATTGGCAAAAAGGAACTCGGTTTGTGTACATGCAGTTACCGATACTAGTACTGCAGCATTCTACATATTGAGCAAGCCGACCTGAATATTTCACAGAGTCGACTCGCTGTTGGCGAGCGAGCCTCATGTGAATGCCAGCAGCTAAGTATGCAGATTCAAATTGCTGCTCGACGTGATCCGCACGTGATGCGGCGGTTAACAGAGATTTAGGTCAAGGCTATCCGAGTTTGTGTTACAAGCCATTCAGACTGTCCGATGTTCGATTCGAACCGTTCATAATATAAAGCTTGAAACAGGGATCTCGCTATTTCCCGGAGCTGTCGTAATCAGAATTCTGGAGCACTGCCTTCTTGCAGCCAGTCATGTACTCAGAGTCGAAGGATCCGTCGTCGTTGACGAAATGAACGCAGAGTCCGCGTGAGACCCACCATGCAACCGCAAGTGGTCCAAGTGGGGCCCAACCTTTGGGTGGAAATCGGCGTTTACAGTGCATGTACCACGGGTGTCAAGGTCGTGGCCAGCGTGAACATGTACACGCACTAGTGGTACTAGAAGTATCGTACATTGTACGACGTACAAACGTGCATGTACCACAGGGGTATGATACAGCTCATACCCGGTATAAGTTATTTGAAAAAGTGGCAACATTTAGCTGTTAGTAATTCGTCCCAAAGACACCTTCGACCGGATCGCGTGAAGCAGATTCCGTATAGTAAACAAGTTGACTTTGTGTTTGTCGAGCAGTGCTCGAGGCCCTGGCGTGACTCGAGCAAACAAGTCCACGGACGATCAAACGTAGCTTCAATGAAGCAGCCGATGAGCTGACGTTGAAAATCGAGCAGTAACAGGTACGATAGAGTCTCAACTTGTTCCAACCGATCAGACTCGAATTGTCAAGATGTTGCGAACGACTTGGTCACACTTACTCACCAAACAGAATCAATGCTACGCATTCACTCAATAGGACAACTCGTAATTACTCGTCAAGCTGATCAAAACTTATCTCAGGTCTAGTCTGCTAATGCATTGCTACGACAAGAGCTTTACTTCGCATTCCGAGCGCTCCACTCACGGTCGAATGCGCTGAGACTGCGCTGCGC